TATAAGATGCTGCTCAGATCTGTGTTCTTAGAGTATAAAAAACAAAGAAGGCACACACACAAAGATTTTAATGTTGTTCATGGGACTCTGGCAGAGGGTGACCCAGCTCCTCCTGTAAATAATTTAACCTCAGAGTTATTCTTCTTTGCTCTAACATTAACATGAGTGCTGGTGCACTGTACAAAATAGGACAAGGGCTTGCTGCCAAGACAGCAATTATCCGCCACCCCTCAACCTTGTCCTGCAGACTCCCTGCTCCAGGGCGCGCACCGATGCAGCATTCTCCACAGCAGGAAGGAGCAACTCCCTGAACCCACCGGTGGGCTCCCATCACCTCACACTGTATCATGCAATTAATTAACCAGCTGAGCATGTTCTGCATGCGACATGAGTAATTCGGTCCACTTACACTTTGTCTGTGAAGGCCGGTGGTGGGGCTTTGCGAGCGGTGTGGATCACAATGATGAAGACCACGATGAGGAAGAGAGCGAGGACTGCGCCCATCACAGCTCCGGCCACGGTGATGGAGTTTGACCTCTCTGCTTGAGACTGGTCTGAGACAGAGAGGACAGAGAACAGTCCAAGATACCACCAACAACAAAACGATGACAGACCACTAACATCCTGGCAGTGAATGAATCAAAGTGTACACACAGTCAGGCGTCGATTCAAAGATTCTCATTCATAGTCCCAATTTACAACTTTTAACCCATAAAGACAATTAGAGTAGAGCAGCAGCAGTTTAGAATTAGAGGTAAGGAGAGTAAACTAAGTTGTTCCAGTTTATTTTACTTATCTTATGGAGATAATATTCTGCCCACATTAAAGATCTGATTATAATTAGAAGCACTACTTCTCTACAGTATGAGAGTCCAAACTGCTGCTGTCACTTTGGTTGGTGCTACATTGGGTCAGCCAGAGGACTGCTCAGCTGTGATTGGTTGTCACATGCATCAACTCAATTATCAAACAGTTGTAGAAAAAGAAAAAGAGTCAGGAGAAAAATGCCACTGCTCAAAAAGGAAATCAAAAGAAAACAAAAACCCCTCCGACCTACACTTTGCAGGTCGGCACCCCTTTTTGTTTGTTTTTACTTCACTATATTTGATTGAGCTCTAAGTCACGCGCATGCAAAATGTTTGGAGAAGCCTACCTGATTAGCCAGGTGTTGCCTTTATTTAGCCACCCAGCAAATTCTTGTTTAAAACACTACCAGCCATCTCAACAGCTGTGAAGGTTGAAGTTGTCTTTGAAGTAAAGACTAAAATAACAACTTTTGATGCTTTCTGCCTTTTAAATATGGCTGTTTGCTGTTTGTCATTTCAGTAATTCAGATATGTTAGGTTTGGGCTGTTGGTGACAACTTACTCTGAAATCTGAGTCGGAAAGTTGAAATTTTGTGATTCCCAACTCTGCCTTGCAAACTTGTATTTATTCTATGCTTATTTCTTTATTTATTCACTTTCAAACTGAAACAAGGATCCTTGGATTTTTAACATGGGTACCACTGTCATTTCTACATGCTGAATATTAAGCTAGTAGGCTAGTGGCGTGGCTAGTATGGGAACAGTTAAGCCCACCATAATGCATTATTGCACTTCTTACAACTTGTCTTGTTAAACAAATAAATTGCATAAATCTGTGACATACTCCTTTACTACTTTTAGATTTGCACACAATAACAAGCTCCCCAATACTGAGAATTTTACTGAGCCATTGCACAAACCACAGCTGTGCAATGATCTGATTTTACTTTGTAAAATCAAGTTAAAACTGAGGGTTTTAACCCTTTATTGTTCAGTCCAGACTGAAGTATGCTAAAGGACTACTTGGAGAAAGACTATGCATACTGGAAGCATGATCTTTGGTCAGTTGAAATATGAATAGAGCCCTTTGGCCACAGAGATAAGAGGGAAGTAGTTCAACCCAAAGATCACCGTCCCCACAGTTAAACACGGTGGTGGGAGTATTACACTGTGGGGGACATGTCAGTGCGCCGGGAATTGGGAATCTCATCAAGGTGGAAAGATATGGAAAGATTAAATAAACATGGATGTGTGACAATTTCAAAAGAAAATTGTCACACATCCATGTTTGTTTCATCCAGCAAAACTGGATCTGGCTAATTAGTTTGTCTTCTAACACAGTGGCCTAAAACATGTCACTCCTGGTGGAAAACTACCTCCAGAGGACCAAAATAAATGTTACTGATTGGCCTGCACAAAGCCCTGACTTAAATCCCATTGAAAATCTGTGGGGTGAACTGAAAACCAAGGTCCATGCTGTTAGACAATCAAATATGGAGGAGGTTGAGAGATTCACCAAAGAAGAATGGGGTGGGAATGCTCAGGACCCATGAGTGTTAGTGGGATGTTGGAATTAGGTATTTAGCAACACTTGGGAAAGACTTTTTACTTTAGTTTTCATAGGGAAACTAATAATTGTTTCCTCATCTGTATATTTCCCAGCAGCTACAAAGACAGTTTCTTTCTTCAAATAAAAAAAAAAACCCCACTACTGGCCAAGAAAAAAAAAGTGCTGATACTTTGCTCCCAGTAGCCTTTTACTGTGTCCGAGTCTGTACCGGACAGCCCTGTATTATTGGTATTCATGAAAGGGCTTTTGCAATTTAACTGAGGTATAAAAATGCCATTTAAAAACTCTGTTACTCACTAAAAATTCACTGTCGGGGTTAAAACACTGAATCCATCCGTTGCCTTACCTCAGTCTTGTGTGTGTGTAACAGTATTATCAAAGTGTTGAATTAGCTTTGTTAGAACATATGCTCCATGCTGTCCACAGAGGGGATTAAGGATTAATCGTGATTAGGATGCATTAAACTCGCAAAACAGCAAGCTTTGGCAAATCAGCAGTAATGTATAATACCAAATGTAGGACACTAAAGGAACTGAAGGACAAAAGGTGACAGAGGAGGCATAAGCATAATGGTCAATTCCCCTTGATTTAGCTCTTGAGAGGGGAAGAAAAAAAAATCAATGTGCTGAGATGAGAAATCTAAATAACAGTTCAATTATGATGCATATTGAACAAGCTGGGATTTCTGAGCTCACCCCCGAAAGTCACTTCTTCTGCCTCCTCCATTCCTGCCATCCTCTAACGGTTAATAACCATTCGATTACCTTTGATGGCTGCTGAACTATGTCAAGGGCCTCTTGAGTTGATCAAAACGCCTTTAAAAATGTAGTTCATCAAGCCGGCTGCTTTAATGCCTTGTGACAGACATTTTCAGGGGACCTGCACAGGGTGGCTGCTTTAAAGCCACAGCGCATGGAGCAGCTGTAGGAGTTCATTAACGGAGGTAGTGTTTCGTGCATGCTTCTAGCTAAGAAATATCGAGACAAATTGTACTCAGAAACAATCCTGCATGTTCCGTCCTGACATTTTCTCCTCATTGTTTTAAATACCATGTATTCTGGGGAGGGGTGGTGGGCCTCGGATTACTGGTGTTAGTGGTGGATCAACTGCCCCACACTGGGATCCGGCTTCAGGCTTTTTACCGTCCCTTCTCGAGTCTCTCCCGCTTCAGCACTTCATCACACAAACAATACTGCTGTGAATCCAGCAGAAGCACATGCTGATCAGTGAGGTCAGTTTCAGACGGACCCTTTCTGGCCAAAACAGAAGTAAGACAGAGTGAGTTGGCCAAACACCTCCCCCCTTCCCACCGATACTCAGGGGTCACGCTATTGCCTAGACAACAGACCCCCCTGGGGAGCAGATGCTGGTGTAATAACAATGGGGGGGATGGGGGGGGGGGGTTAAAGCAGCATTTCAATATTTTGAGTTTTTGTGATGGTTACAATGTGATGCCACCTCTGCTGGGGAGTTAATATCAAAGTCTCTCCCCTCACTCACAGTTGTCAGAGCTGCATCCCTCTGCGCTGCCTGAGACGTTCGCTCACTCCTTTGTGTCTTGTGAAAAGTATCCTTGGAAACTGTTGTGTCGCAGGCAGCGAATCCGCTGATCTTCTGCACGAGTGTCTCAAACAAATTCAAGCATTGGGGGGTGACATCATTACTGCCACCGAGCTGCTTCCCCATGTGTTTTCACACTGCCCTGTTTCAAGGTCAGGATGAGAAGCTGCTGTGACCATGATAAGATCTGTAGGAGACAAGACAGGTCAGCTGCTGAAGACTTTTATGGCAAGAGCGTCTTGAGGACCTAGAGTGCCAGCGCAACACTGAGTCACACTTGTATATATCCTTATAAGCCAGAAGAGCTCTCTGTAGTGCTGCAGGGAGTAATGGGCCATTTTCAGTCTGTCTGCACGAGCTGTCACAACAGCACAGCCCAGCTCTGAGCTCCACGCAGGCCCCTACTTTGTGTGGCCAGGTAGAGCTCGTAGGACGACAGCCTCCATCAGCAGCTCCAGATGAGCTTGTTGCCATGGGGACAGTCAACGGGCTGGAGAGCAGGGACTTTGGGCCAGTCAGAAACACTCAGCGTTTAATTTTACCAGCTGGTAGACAGTGGGAGAAAGACATGGGGGTGGGAAGGTGGTGGATTTACAAAGGAGAGGTGCTGCAGGGGAAAGCAAGGGCCTTTCTGTCCTGAAACAAAGCAAACTAGGACTATTAATGAGGGAACCTCGAGCACATGAGGTGCTGGGTCTCCCCCGACCACAGGAATACCACTGAAGATCAACTGTTCAGTATTTAACCAGATGGCAAATGTAATAGGGTAACATCCGATAAATCTTTGTTATTAAAGTGTAATGAGGATCAGTTGAAGTGAAGGAGGGGAAGGAAAAAAAAAA